CAAGCTTGGAAACATATATCAATGGACTTTATTGAAGGATCGCCTAAGTCACGAAGGAAGGAGGTGATATTTGTTGTGGTGGACAGGTTTTCCAATTATGGCTATTTCTTCCGTCTGTCTAAACCCTACACACTTATATCAGTGGATGAGGTCTTCTTCGATGTGATCTTCAAACTTCATGGCTTACCTCAGATAGTTGTGTCCGATAGGGATTCCCCTGCATACCACCTGCAGACAGATGGTCTTTCACATGTCTCTACTCAAGCATGCAAGGGGTAACCACGTCGTACCACAACCAGCCCTGTAAAAGATTGATGATCAAAGATGATATAAGTCGAGGCTCTAACTCCTGGACTTAAGCAATCAGAAACACAACAAAGATCGATTACAACACAACGATCACAAACACAGATTAAAACCCAAACCAAATCGACGAGTCGCGAAGAAGGCAAGGTATTCGAAGGACTATTCGGTTAGGGTGATGAGCTAGCAGAAAATGTCGGCTTCCTCTTGCTGAATCAATTCCACAATCAAGAAAGAAGAAGAAGAGAAGTTGGTGTTTGAAGAACCAATTCTAGGGTTTGTATTTTTGAATAAAATTGTTGATTACCCTCTAAAAGACTTGGTTCGGCGCCTTATATAGGCTACAAAGGTTTTGGGCCAAAAATAACAAAGAAAGCCGAGTTTGGGTGTAAAAGTCTCATAATCCGCAAAGGAAAAGTAAAACTCATCGGCAGCAGTGAGGGTGAAAAACCCAACCTCCCTCCTAAATTTCCCGGTCGGGGATTTGGCCTTCAAGGCCGGGGAAAATCCATGGACTCATTCCTCGGTCTCCTCATCAGTTACCCGACCGAGGTTTTCACTGTCATGGATGGGGAATTTGCCTGAAGCATCCCCAACGCCTATGAGCATCACTTCTCATCCCACGAATAAGTTTGCCTCCATTTTGATGAAGTTTTGGGCCAAATAAGCTTGATCAATCTTGTAGGCATTGTTTTTATGCGAGCGAGGACTTGAAAGGGACCATCACCATGAGGCAACTACTTGGAACATCGTTGATGGGCAAAATGTTCCTTCCTCATGTGCACCCGGACTCAGTCTCCTGGCTCGAATAGTTGAGGATGCCGATGCTTGTTCACGTTCTTCAAAATTTGCTCCGCCCATCTCTCTATGTTCAGTCATGCCTTCTCATGCAATCCTCGAACAAACTCTGATTTCTTCGCACCATCTAAATTCACACGCTCAGTGACAGTTAATGGAGACAAATCCAATGGGGTTAAAGGATTAAATCCATACACAATCTCAAATGGTGAGAACTTAGTGGTAGAATGAACAGGCCTATTATATGCAAACTCTACATGAGGTAAGCATTCTTCCCAATACTTGATATTACTCTTAATGACAGCCCTAAACATTTGAAACTAAGTCCTATTAACTACTTCAGTTTGACCATCCGTTTGAGGGTGGCAAGTAGTAGAAAACAGCAACTTAGTACCAAGCTTACTCCAGAGAGTTTTTCAGAAGTAAATTAAGAACTTGACATCATGACGTGTCTTTAATTGTGTGGTTTTTCTTACAGGTGGGACGCGAGTTGATGATGGAGATTACTCATGTGATAGCTGCTGGTGGGGATAGCAGGGAAGTGATGTTATGTCTAAGTATAATCAGTTTTCGACCTCCTCCATAGTAGTTAGATATTTGCTATGTGACAATAAATCCCCTAATAGTACAAACTAAAGTTATACCTAAACATAAAAGTACAAATTTTCTTATGGTACAATTTCAAGTTGTACTTTAAAGCACTAATGCTTTAAAGCATAGTAGATGTGTTGTTTGAAATAGGCTAAATATATACAACTGATGAGTAAATACAATATAATAGTCAAAAATTTTCCACTTTAAACACAATAATAGCCAAATCTTTTAAAAAATAATTTAATAGCCAAACTATTAATTTTCCGTCTAGTCAACTGTTAGTTGACTCTGATGTGGCAGTGGCAATTTACTGTACACGTCACCTGATTTTTTCTGATGTGGCAATTCATAAAAATTAGGGATTAATTTTATTTTCAAAATTAAATAAAAAAGTGGAAAAGAAAATTCCTTATGTTCACTCTCTATCTTCGTTATAATCCATCCATCAGTCCTCACTGTTCCACTCCCTCTCTCAGAGACGAAATCCCTCCCCTCCGATGAAACCCAACCCCGTCGCCCACCATAGAACCAAATCCAATCTGCAGCCGTGAACCAATCTCAACAGCGCGCCTTCATCCCTCCTCATGTGAGCGTCGAAAAACGCGAGAATAGCCTGGTCCTAGAGTCCCAGGTCGGATCTGTGGCGAAGGAGAGGATGGAGCTTTGGGGAAGGGGACGACAGAGCGTTGGCAAAGGAGACGACTTACTTCGGTAAGGATGCCCCGACTACCCCGCTACTATCACGACCCATATCTCAAAAGAAGCACAAGAAGGAACAATCACCACCGGAGTAACACCGTCACTTTTTACAAGCACTTCTCTCTAATCCCCACACCACACAATCAGAAGAAAGGATTGGAATTTCGGTAACCCAAACCAAAACCCAAATCTGGGAAATCAAAGCAATTCGAGAAGAAACGCCGAAATAAATCTAGGAACCCAGAATCATGCAAATCTCAACAAAGGCTAGAAGTTTTCATGAAAGTGGAAGAAAGGAGAGGAAACGGATCCGGAAAGGAGAACTGAATAACCAAAAAAGCGAAAAGGGCAAATTAATGAGGGAAGTGGGTGGAAAATTTTGGCGGAAGTGAATGGAAAGAACTTACCTTTTCCATTTTTTATTTAATTTTATTAATCCCTAATTTTTTAAGTTGCCACATCAGCAAAATAAGCTAATGTGTACATTAAATTGCCACATCAGATGACGATTTGGTTATTAAATTGTTTTCAAAAAGGTTTGCCTATTATTTTGTGTAAAACAAAAATTTTAACTATTATATTGTATTTACCCTAGCTGATGTGGATGACCTAATAAACATTAAGAATTTCAACATAAGCCTTTTGTAGACTTGCAAGGGTTTATAAGCTTCGGCTAAGAATTGAAATCTTGAATTAGAACTATGTGTTGCTAATGGTAATGACTAAAAATCATTTTAAAAGTAGGTAATATTTAGTTGAGAAATTAGCATATACTAGAGTAAATTATCCATGGCCCATAGCTCAAAAATAATGACCTGACTAGACCTTCCCTAACCTACTACTTTTAGTAAGCCAACATGCACTAAACAACATCTAGGGGTGGGATTCAGTCGGTAAACGGTAAATTGTTTATCGAATTTACGAGTTTCGATATACCAATGTTGGCCAAATTGGTTACCAATTACCGATACCGATTTGTAACCGGTTTACCGAATTACTGGTAAACGGTTACAAACCAGTATTACCGAAATACCGTGAGAACGGCGAGGAGATGGCGACCATGCTCCAAGGACGGCAGACGGCAGGAGGCGAGGACGACGAGGAGATGGCGGGGCGGCCTGGCGGCGGCGGGGAAGCCGGAATGTGGTGGAGCCGCGGAGGAGGACTGGGAAGGGATGGCGACTGCGTCGCATCGTGCGTCGGCTACAGCTGGGAGAGACGAGAGTTGGGGATGGTTGGGGAAGCGCGCTCGTCGTCACCGTCGCTCGACGGTCGTCGCATTCGCAGCCAGCAGAAGGAGAGGAAGACGAGAAGAGGAGAGCTGGAGAACCTGGGGGGGCTGCGGCGGGTCTCGAAAAAACGAGGTCGGGGGCGGGTCGCTAGCCTGGGTAGGGGTTTTTAGTTTTTAGGGTTTGGGAGGCCAGGCAGCAAAACACAGCGCAGCGGCAGAAATGGGGAGGGGGGATTTCGGTATCGGTAATACCAATTTACCGTTGGTATTTACCGATACCGTATGCGGTAAACCGAGTATCCCAAGTCACCGCTCGGCTGCCGATATCGCTGGTAAACGGTTTACCGTTTACCGCCGGTTACCGGTTCGGTAAAACGGTAAACTGTTTACCGGATTACCGTTTACCACTCCTAACAACATCGTCTTATCCCATTACCTGCATAACTCGTCATCTATTTTACCGTGAGCCAACCCCAATGAAAGTTCAAAGTATTACTAGTTTTATCATTTACATTGAACTTAAATACTCTAAACTGTCCTTAAATTAATAATTGGGAGTTCACCAAATCCACACCCTACAAGTTGGTTACCTGTGTTATTTCAGTCAAAATATCTAAAAGGAGGGAATAGGAGATGTCTAAAACAATATCATACATTTACATGAACCTTAATTTTTCTTTTAAAAATAAAATAAGAAACAAATTTCTTCATAATATGTTGTAATTTTTTTAGACAAAACTATTGTATCACTTGTAAAAGGTTTGCCATAGGTGACGCTGGACTCTGTCACAGGAAAGTTTATTTTCGTCACAGATAGTGTTTTACAGGGTCTAACAAAAATTTTGAACTTTTGGTGACAATTAGTAAATTTCGTCACATAAAATGTACTTTATGTGACAGAATTTGGCCCATCACAGAAAATTTCGTCACAAAAGAGTAACTTTGTTGTAGTGCCATACACAATTATATATGTCCAATTTTCATTATTTTTCTTCCACTTTGTATGTCTAAGGCAAAACTCCAAGCACATCCAATATTTTCCTTCGGCCTCAATTACTACAATAAATCAAAAAGAAAAAAAAAATTAGTAGTTTCGCTGCCCATGGAGCATAAACTTTCTCTATTATGTCGTTCTCCTTTATCAAACTCACAATCTAATCTCAAACCAAATCAATCAATGAATTTTATTGCCAATATAATAGTATACAATCTACTCATGTAGCCAAGTAGCTATTCCACAATATATTTGGAACACATTATACCAAGCACCCAACTACAATAAATGCATCATATTAAAAATAAACAAATTATTAACAAGTACAAGAAAAGAAATGCTTTCATAAGATTTGATTTTTAGGTTACAAATATTTTGATATGTATTTTTTATATGTAGGGATATGATAGGAGATAAATAGATTGTTTTCTAGTTTACAACTGATCAAGACGTTCTTTGTGGGAAGGACAAGAAGATAATATCAGTTTGACTGCTATTTGGTGTTCATGTCTCTAGGAGAAACAAAACTAAACTTCAAATGGAAATAGGAGAACAAATCCAATGTTATGCAATGTGGTATATATACAGAAGACCAAATGAAAGATGATTCCAATAACTATCTAGGCGCAAGAGCGAGGACCTTTAATTTCGATCGGTAACCATTTATCTTTCCAAGAACCGATGATCATCCACTTTAGGGCATTACATTGTGTATTATTATGTGTACACCTCATTTCTTCTTGTTTGTGGATCTTTTTGATGCAAGGATTAAACATAAATGTCTTTTACCAAATTCCAGCAGAGGATCCTGATATTTGATTATTTCTCTGGATGATCTACAACCAAGCTAGCTCATGGAGAAACTTCAATCACTTGTTGATTCTAAAAATCAGTTTGGTTGCTGCAATTGAAAAAATTTGTAAGATGGTGAGAATAGTACATATGAAACAAAATAAAATTAGAAAAGATAGACCACACGGACACATACACAAATAAATATCTTTCTCATCTAAACCACTTAGCCCAAAAGATATGTTAGTGTTACAAGAATGGAGTAGGTTAGTGCTACTTCTTTCACCAAATTATGTTTCCATACTAATAAAGCTTACTTTTTTAAGCTACGACTTTGGGTATGAAAATAGTTTCATGCTTTTTATCGCTCATGTGAAGATCCTTCTTAAAATACATAATATATTCGCATGCAAATTTAACAAGAGTAGATGAAAATATTCTAGAGAGAAGTGACTGACCACACATATTATAACAAAATAAGAAGAAAGCTAAACCTGGGAATACAGTTGCTCATCAAACATGGTAACAGCACAGGGTCCAGATGTGGAAGTCCAACTGCCAGGAGTGTTACAATAAGTGGGTTTGGGTGCTTCAAAGTTTCCATTAACGTGGAAGTCAACAGGAATTTCTTGCAGGCTAATATCTGTTGTTGCGGACTGGAACTTTCCATCATTAAGCAAATTAAGATTGTACGGAATGTAGGGGTAGTTCCCAGTCAATTGCAGCCTCAAAGATGCATTGCAATTTAACTCATTCAGAATACCGCTCACACCACTTTCTTGTCCAGAATTGGAAAGATCAGAATTTTTTCCCAAGCTGAAGTATCCCGAATAACTCCCATACGATGAACTTGCAGAGCATTCAACATCCCTAAGTAAACCAAAGTGGAGCTAATTAGTGGAGAAAATTAAGTGACGAATACAAAATTTGACTACGCTATCACTATCATGATTCGTTTAGACATCCATTCTACCTTGAAAGTTATACACTTTAAAATTATATATGGTTGACTAATTGTCACCTTATTCTTGTTATAACATTTGTAGAATGATTTTTTAATATCGTCTTCAGTAGTGATCAGGGTTAATCACCTCTGGGCTAGTAGATTTGGATCATCTGGCAACATGATATGTTGGTTGTCACAGTGGGAAAGCCATTGTAAATGTGGGAATTGCTGCTCAACCTTCATTCCGAAAGGTACTTGAATTCCATTTTGACACTGTATAAAAATTTAAGCCATGTAAAATCCTCAATAATGAGTATACGAAACTTTGTTAAAGAACTATCTATCGACTATTAAATCGACATGTTTACCTGACTGTTGCACTCTAGAGACTCCATTTGTTGTTGTCTTATATTTTCCTGGCAATGAAAAATATTTTATGTTAACACAACATCGAAATCCTAAGAAGACATTAATAACAATCCTGACCAAGAAGAGTGTATTTTTTATTTATATTTCCCATTGTAAGGCCTTCTCCTTCAGTGAAAATATACTTAAATTTAATCTTGAAAACAACACAATAGAGATACCTTATGTGTTCGGATTCGACTAAGCGACTCTTGTACAGAATTCTCGAACTGGCCCAATAATTCAATGTTGTCGATCTCATCAGGATTAGTCCAATACCTACAAATTACCAAGTAAAAAAAGATATATCGCTATTTGGTAGATACTTCTCACATAAGATTAACAACTCATACATGAAACAGTTCAAATAATAGAAAAGCAAAGAATATATTGTTGCTTTTAGGGAAAAAGAACTACCATGTACATACCTCAATCTCTTCTGCATTTCTAAAAGTTGTTTATGCAATAGACTTGATTGGTTTGTAAGGTCCTGAAAAATCAAAGTGAGACAAAGTGAGACAAACATTGACATCCTAGACAACAAGAGAGGCTTCTATCATTAAAATCATAGTGTTCATATATGTACCTCTATTGTTTGAGAACTGAAAAACAAACAAAAATTGGATTTAGTACGAGTAAGTTTATAATGGGACAAAAGCTACATAATTTGCATAAAAGTGAATCATGCAAAGCACATACCTTGACCCAAAAAATTCTGGTATATTGACATCATGGTCCAACTTCTTAAATGTCTTTTTCAAAGCCTATACTCCCAGGGAGAAACAAAATATTTTTTAAATCGAAAGGTGTGAAATTGGCTAGTGTGAACTTTCACCAACATATAGTACTTACTTCGAGACTTTCCAACTTCCTAGTGCAAAAGAAAGGCACGCAAATTAATTTCAATCCTGTAATTATTATCTTTATGTGCAAGTTAGATGATAAAAAATATGAGAAAGTTTACCATACCTTTTTGTCCTTTCTTGAGGTGAAAGCTGAGCAAATTTTATCATGACTTCTTCCATGCTTCAAAAAAACAAAAGGAAAGAGAGGTAATTGAAAATTGGTTTTCGTCCATCGATGATTAGAATCAAGAAAGCCAAATGAATGATAAACCATGAAAACTACAGAAAGATCCTTACAATATAGTTTGGGCTTCTCCATCCCCATCATTGGATTACAAAGGTAGAAATAAGCACAAATCTAAAGTTGCATTAATGAGATTGGATTCTAGAGTAATAAACCATTTGAAGTGGGTTCATGTACACTTCGAACTTTGAAATTATTCATCTAAGTAATCACTAAACTAGAGCCTACAATCAATGAATGGTAGACAAGCAAAATTTTAACCATAACAATCCTCCAAATGGTTGATAAGATAAGGGCATGACATGAAAAAGCAGACCTGCGTTTTCCTTTGCACAATGAAGGCTTTCCAGTTGGTGAGAACATAAGAAGGATAATGGGTATATCGCATAATATTGACAACTCATTAGCCTTCTTCATTATACCGTGCTTTCGCTTTCCATAAGTTGCTTGGCGACCATTTGTGTTCTCTAACCTCTTGATCTTTAGCTTAACCCTTCCCATCCTGAAAACAGTTGAAACAAGCTCAATTGCATAAGACTTTATTCACATAAATTGGGAGAAAAATACTTAATGGAGAACTATTATGACAACATGATTTCCTAAAATAATCCCTCAAACATGTATTTCAAACTCCGATAAGAAATTGATCTACATAATTCAAACACATACAATGACATTTCTAATGATATTAAATATGTCAATCTTTGATCTCCCAACAATACAAGATGAAACATTCCTGACAAAAGAAGGATATCCTTAATCATCAAATCACATTGTATTAGAAATATTATCATCAAATGAAGAAACAAAACAACCCATAAATGAGAAATTCAATGAAAACCCAAGAGAAAGGACAGAATAAGAATAAGAAAGAAGAGAAGAGGGGAATGAAAGCAAATAAGAAGATTACCCAGATAAAGATTGAAGATGCTTTCTTTTTTAGAAGGAAAATATCTTTTGAAGCTTCCTAAAAGTAGATTATTGGGAAAAATTGAAAATCAGGTAAATAAATATGAAAATTTGGAAATTCAGAGAAAAAAGGATAAAAACTTGGGAGAGAAAAAAGAAACCCAAATGAAGATAAAGAATCAAACGACCGAGTTGAGATGGGGAAGGGAAGGGTGTTATTGGAGGAAGAAAGGTTTGGAGAGGGGGTAAAGGGACTTTAAAGGTCGATTGTTGGGCCAAACATCGAAAGAGCTAATCTAATGGATGATGATTGATCGAGATGATGAAGAAGAAAAGGGAAGATGAGAGATTTACACACAGAGAGAAAGAGAATGGGCGAAAGCTTACATCTAGGCTTTTAGGGCACGACCGGGTGAGCGAAAAAAGCGGTCATAGTGAAAAAGAGCTAGAGAATCGGGATCGCCAAAGAAACAAAGAAAGAGAAAGAGATGGAGGAGATAATTGAATTGAAAACGGCCACCAAAACCAGTCTTGATATGTGGAAAGTAGTGTGTACTTTCGTTACATATTTGGTTATAATATTTAACTAGAAATTGAAGTATGTGCTTTCGAAGCGGCAAAGATGATTAACAAAAAAAATTATAGATCGTAATAGTTTGAAAGAAAAAAGAAAAATAAAATTAATGTAATAGATAAATCAACTAACTACACTAGCAACTCGTCCTTGTTGATGCCCACACTTAAGTTTCAACATCATATCAATCCTCCTACCCCACGTGTGATCAAATTGAAAAAAAAAATGCAAAGAGAAGAGTATTGCATGCATAGATTATGTAGAGACAATGGTTGAAACCCCTATTATTTCTCTATATGTGTTCTTGTGAAGTTCTTTCCAAATCGTAATTTGTTGTTCTCTCTTTTTGCTTATTCTTTGACTCATGTCGATTATACTTAGTATTTTCTCATATTTATCTTCATTCATCCTTCTTTCAAATGGTAATGGTGATGGTGATTCATTGAAAACAAATAGAGGGAAAGGATTGGAAAGTTGCAGAGGGAATGAAAATTGAGAATGCCAGTGAGGTCTCCTACATGCAAATCTCCCCATTCCTTTGTTGCATTGGGTTTAGTAGTGAATTTACCTATTATACTTGGTCTTTAGATAGAGAGAAAAATAAACCTGTCCTCGAGGGGGAAAAAAACCAAGACTTAGTCGTTATGTTTCAAGATGGAAACTCGATCTCAATCCAGAACGACAATAAATAAAAATTGAAAGAGGCGGTATGAAACCAAATTGTATGTAAAACTACAACAGACTTTAGAAAAAACAATATACATACGCATATTAATATTAATATTAAGCCAAACAGTTACTAAGAAGTCCCAAAAGCCGGCCCATTTTAAAGATATATATGCAACTAACTGATCACACAAATCTTAGTGAACAGTTGACACGATAAAACACAACACCAAACTGGGACCAAGTGCAATTGCAGTCCGGAAATGCAGTAAGTGGCAAGCTTTATTTGTCAAACCCGAGGTCTAGATCTACTGCCTACTCCGTGAATATCTATTATAGAGAAAACTAAGTAAAGTGATTGTGATTTTAAATAAAATCAGTAAGAAAGAAGGAAATGGTTCAAAGTTCTTTAGCAAGGGAAGAGTCACTCGGGAATGAGTCCCCCTAGTTCCTTAGTTAGAGAAGGTTCTACTCCATAAAGAGAGATAGCGTTCTTCATACCCAAGTGAGAGAAGGTTCTACTCCATAAAGAGAGAGGAAAACAGAAATCAGAGTAGTCATACTCATAAAGATGAGGATAATCTGCTCTGGGATGTCGATTTTCATCGTGGGGATGCAATCTAGGCTTCAATAGTGAGAAATCCACTCCAAATAGCTCCTAGGGTTTGTTCTTCGCACTTTCTCTCTCTAAGGCTCTGTTTTTTGCTCAAAAAATCCATCCCCCAAAATATGAGCTCCTCTCCAAATAAAACCCGCACTGGTGCAAAAACACGGCCACTAAGCCCCAAAACACGGCCGTATTTTAATCAAAAGAGGCCGGGTTTTTGAATGGCGATTCTATGAAGGGCAGAGAAAAAACACGACCTCTAGCACAAGGCCGTGTTTTTCACACCAGAGGGCGTGTTTTTCAAAAGCCCTGCTGCTCGGTTTTCGTGATCGACCTTCTTTCACCTCCAAATGTCCTGAAACTTGCCATAAGGCCATATCTACGTACTAGACCTGAAATATGACAAAAGAACACAACCTAGCGTAAAATAGGCCAAGGAATGACCAATCGCTAAGCTAAACGATCAAGAAATGATGGGGAAAACATGTGCAAATACGGTGTTATCAAATTCCCCCACACTTAATCGTTTGCTTGTCCCCAAGCAAACTAAGTCAGATACAAGGTAAGCTCAAAACATCTTAATCATGCAACCCTTGAGGACATATCATATCGGCACAAAACGCGTTAATAACACATGGACAACTTCAACAACAACCTGGACAACCACCACAGAAGACATTCGAGTGCAGCAAAATCGGGTAAAGGAAGAGTCTCCCTTCTGTTCACCAACCAACATAGACTCGACTCAACCACTTAGCCAAGACAGTCATTGCACGCATCAAACTCAAGACATCAGAATCAAGATCGAGCCATCTAGGTACTCACCGGTGTAAAGTGTATAAAGAACAAGGAAATGAATAGCTCACTCTCGACCAGTGGGGTCAGGACAATTTGATGCGAAAAATGCGCATGCTTATTCTCTCATTCCCTAACGTCTCTTCACCATGACGACATCCTCTAGATTTTAGAGTTCACATATTGGGTGTCATCACTAACTAATCCGGAGGTCTTAGACACAAGTTCAAGTGACTGGCTAGGGTCTTGGACATGGGGAAAAAGCCTTTTAGGTAGTGGAAGTATTCATAGCACAAGGTGCCACAGTTCCAAATCCAACACATTCACAGCCAATCAAACCACTTATTTTCTTTATGCTATTATGCATTACTCAAATTCCTTAGAGCACAAGAGCGAAGGATGTCACAATAACGCTAGTATTTCCAAGCCAGACTGCTAAGAAACACTAATTAATGAGCATGATTCAAATTTATGGTAGTGGCTCTCTTTTGCTTTTATTCATCTTTGTTTTTTTCTTTTTTTTCCATTTCTTTATAGAACCACCACCTCTGCACATTTTTCAATCACATTCTCAACTTTTAAGAACTACCTCCAACCCTCGCATTATTTTCTATGGAACCTTCTAAGAAATGCAAAAGAGTGATTTTTCATTGTAGATCGAAGGAAAGGAAAGTACACGGCTCAAGGGGCTGACTAGGGGGTATGACACACCAGGACAGTCAATTTGGTCTCGGGTTATTCCTATGCCTCCATCATCTTAGCTAGTGACAACGTGAATGCTACACATCATGGAAGAGGGATCTATCGCACAAGAAAGAAACGAGCAACCTGAACTAGATGCATAAACGACTTTCAAGAGTAAGTGATCAATCCAAGTTACAATTGGTAAGCATACAGTTGAAAAACTGAACCCCTACACAACTCTACTGCACGTCTTCGTCATCATTATATTTTGTCCTAGTCACACTCCAGTTGTCATGCATGAATTCGAAAGCCATTCAATTCACCGATTAAACCCACAGTGCCATTACAATCAAGCAAACAGCAGTACTTGGAGCCCTCAGATCTCAAGATTTGGACAGTGGACTAGGCTCCAAGCACACATATATATGTTCCAATGAATACAAAGACCCCCCCCCCCCCCCCCACACACACACATCTAAATGAGACAGTGTCCTCAATAGAGCAGAGGGAAGGGGAACGAAGTTACCGTGAAATGAAGATCAGAAACGGGGAAGGGAGGGCGGACCAGTCAAGAGCAGGGGCTGGAAAAGGACCAGTCCAACTGGCACAGAGCTAGAGTCATCAAAACACAAACACATTGGGTGAAAGAACTGGAGTTCCATGTGGACAAACCGAAAACAAACGAAAGAAAAACAAACCTTGGTGGGGTTGCCCCCCCCCCATAAGCGATTCTTTACCGTCTTTTAGCTGGACGCCAATAGGGTGGATGCTCAGAGAGGTGTAGGAATACGTGCCTCCAAGAGCGGATCCACATCGCTCTTGAGGTACAGCTTCAAATGGTGGCCATGCACACGACGGGTGTGACCACCAACACTCGTCAACTCGACCTGGCTATCTGACAGGATGCAAGCGAATGAATACTCTGCTGGCCAAGGAGGTCGAGGCTCAGGATCCGGGACCAGCTCATAGTGGTCTCCCGCTTCCTTTTTAACAGGCTTAGCTACCTGCAGTTTCGGCCGCCACTCCTCCTTGATCTTATCTTTTGGGAACGGGGTGGACGGGAGTGGCACCGATGGTGTGGGAGGTGGATCCTGCAAAATGGGATGCACAGAAGGATACATGACAGACTCGTGCTCCTGGTGAGAAACAGCATGCAAAGGCGATGAAGCTGGGAGAGTATTAGCAATGGAAAATGTTAACTGCTCCTCGCCATCTCTCAAGACTAAGGTCCCATCATGTACATCTATGAGAGCCTTGGCGATGGCTAGGAAAGGCCTTCCCAGTATAAGGGGCACTTCTGCGTCTTCATTGATGTCCAAGACAACAAAATCCACAGGATAAAAAAATATGCCAACCTTAACCAGAAGGTCTTCCACTATGCCCCTAGGGTGGACTACAGATCGGTAAGCTAATTGAATACTCATCCTAGTTGCACTAGGTTCACCTAAACCTAGTTTCTTGAACAGTTTATATGGCATAACATTGATACTAGCACCTAGATCCGCCAAGGACCTCTCTACATTCAATTTACCTATAGAGCACGGGATAGTAAAACTACCTGGGTCCTTCTGCTTCTGCGGAAGCTTGTTCTGCAGAATGGCCGAGCACTCCTCGCTGAGCTCCACAGTGGCCAGCTCGCTCAGCCTCCGCTTCTTCGAGAGAAGCTCCTTCAGGAACTTCGAATACTTAGGCATCTGAGATAGTGCCTCCATGAAGGGCACTTGAACCTTCAGCTTCCTAAGCATGGATGAGAAATTGCCGAACTCTGCCTCTAGCCTGTCTTTGTACATCCTGGTGGGAAAAGGAAGCTTAGGCTTATATTCAGCCACTACTGGTTGTGTCTTTGGAGCTTGAGCATCTGGATCCTTTTCCATCAATGGAAGTGGTTGCAGGCAAATTCATGGAGCTTGAGTCATAGTCCCACTTCTCAACATAATGGCGTGCAACCCCTCCTTATGATTTCTAGGATTCAGCAGGGGTTGTCCAGAAGTTTGCCAGCCGGTCTGGAAGCAAGGGCATCTGCCAGGTGCCCGATCTT